ATTTCTTATTTTAAAAATTTAAACTGTAAATTTTTTTTAACTTCTGATATTTGGACATCTAGAGCACAAACTGGATATTTATGTATCACAGCACACTGGATTGATAAAAATTGGCAAATGTTTAAAAGAGTTGTTTCTTTTATTGCAATAGAAGAGTCACATACTGGTGCTAATGTTGCAAATTTAATAATTGAAGAACTTATGAAATTAGAAATTTCACAAAGAATATTTTCTCTTTCACTAGATAATGCAAGTAATAACAATGTAGCTGTTGATTTTATCAGATCATCTTTATCATTGCCATGTCATGGTGATCTTTTTCATATTAGGTGCATCTGTCATATTTTAAATTTAATTGTTCAAAGTGCATTTACTGAAATTAAACCCATGATAGAAAAGGTTAGAACAGTTGCTTACATGCATAGTGCTTCTGAACAAAGACTTAAAAGATGGAAACAATTTTGTAAAAGAAAAAATGTAAAGCCTAGACTAATTCCAAAAGATGTTGACCATAGGTGGAATTCCACATATGCAATGTTAAGTGTAGCAATAGAATATAAAGACATTATAACTGATTTTATAAACTATTATGCTTCTAGTTCTAGTTCTGGTAGCACTTATGGAATAACTGAAGATGAATGGACAGTTATATGTAATTTAAATGAAATGTTACAAGTTTTTTATGATGCTACCATGTTATTATCTGGCTGTTATTATCCAACCATTACTTTAGCTGCTTTACAAATTTTAAATATTCAAAATTTTTTTGATAAATATCGTTTGGATGCTACTTTTGGACCTATGGTTTTTGAAATGGAGAGCAAATTTAATAAGTACTTTAGGCCTATTCCTCATATTTTTGGTTTGGGGGTTCTTATTGATCCATGCTTGAAGGATATTGGCCTTCGAAGTTTGTTACAGTCATTGTATGGTGGACAGGTTATAGACTTAGATGATGGAACCACCCTGAATGCTACTACTCATCATTTACTTATTAGAAATTATTTTCAAACTTTATATGATGAGTATGCAGCTAGACATGGTGTAGCTGCACAACAGTCTGCAGCTTCGGTTTCTTCGAGCTCATCCCGAGCCCGAGGTAAAAGTGTAAGTTTTGATAGGTATGCAATGGTAGCCGAGCTAACTGGTGGATCTGGACTTGGATCGTCATCATCGGAGGTTTCTGAAATAGATGAATATTTTTCTGCTTCTTTAGTTAGATGTTAAGGAAATGCTTTAGATATTTTGCAATGGTGGAAAGTATATGGATCAGTTTCATATCCTATACTTTCCACCATGGTTCGTGACTTACTAACAGTGCAGGTTTCGACGGTAGCTTCGGAATCCGCCTTCAGCACAGCAGGTCGTTTGATCGATGATCACAGGACATGCTTGGATCCGTATACTGTACAAGCGGTGATGTGCTTACAAGATTGGTGGAGGTACGAGAAGCGAACGTAAGGCATCGATCGGATGGCTGGAATTGAAGATAAATTTGAAGAATTGGGACTAGCAGATAGATATAAAGAATAGATTGTAGTTTTTATATCTTAGCTTAAAATTTTTAAAGAATTATTTTGGAAATAATTGCAAATGATAGTGATATAGGTGAGTAGGTGTCAACCTAGTTAGGATTTACTTATCTATTGTGATGCGATTAATTCCAAAATAAATTTGTACTTGTAATTTGTAACTGATTTATCAATTATTAATAAAGAATTTGTTTTTATCATTTTTTATTTGTAATTTATGTCATTTTAAGTAATTAATAAAATTATTGTTTTTATTATTTTTCTTATTTTTTTATAATTTAAAATTTAAATAAAATTGAAAAAATTTGGGAAAAAAAAAGAAAATCAACCGGGCCAGCCCGGAACCCGGCCCGGCCGGGCCCGGTCCCGGCCCGGTGTACCCGGGTCCGGGTCCGGGTCCCGGTTTTTCCCGGCCCGGATGGACAGGCCTAGTTAATGGGTTTGGGTTTGTGTGAGAGTAGTATAACTAGTAAATCACGAAAAAGTTAATTAAAGTAAGCAAAATATTCCCACATTTCAATCAGACTTTAAGTAGGGGCCTTATTTCAACATACTAATAGAATTTGGGGGCCTAAGATTAATTTTGAAGATGTGGTGGGTTAATATCAAAATATTGAAAGATTTGGAGGGACTGAGCAATTTCAAAGATTTAAGGAGCCAATACAAAATATAAAAAGTATTGGGGGCTAACATGAAATAACCCTATATAATATTGAAATATATTGGGCTCTGCACTCGAAAAGAGAATCATTCTAATTAAATAATAAAGATTTTTCTTTTTGGGGTGACATTTCATATTCTCCAATAATGTCGGGGGCGGATCTATGTACCCCTTTGCCCAAGGATCCCAACTAACTTAATAACCACCTTACCCCAGAAAAAAAGAAAAAAAAAGGAAAAAGAGAGAGAGGCAAATTGGCCACTTAAAATTTATTTTGTAGAGTTATTTGCATATATACCCTCTAATGGCAAGGGTATTTGCAGAAATACCCTAAAAATATTAGTATTTGCTAAACTACCCCTCTAATCACCAATTTTTACAAAAAAATACCTTCAAAGCAATTAACATCAACTTTGATAAACTAATTTGTAATCTCAAAGTAAACTTATTAATAAAATAGTCAATTTTTTTTGCATCAAGATGATTATTATTGATTTAAGGGTATTTTTTCACATAGTTGATGATTTGAGGTATAGTTTTGCAAATATAAAAATTTGAGATTATTTTTGCAAATACTCATGATTTGAAGATATATGCAAATGACCCTATTTTTTACTATAGAGAACTCATATTTTGTTCTACCATAGGCTTCCATAGCCCTTTTTTAATTGGTGTTACGGTGTATGAGTTATATTTAGGGGTGGCAATTTATGACCCGACCCATTAACCCGACCCGACCCGACCCATTTATAATGGGTACGGGTCAAATTATATGGGTCGGGTCATAAACGGGTCAACCCAAATTTACCCATTTATTAAATGGGTCAATTCGGGTTGGCCTATTGACCCGTATAACAAAAATCCCGACCCGTGTAACAAACTTCGTTCCCTCACTCTCTCTTAAGTGCGCCGCTCTGGAGAAAGAAAAAAAAAGAAAAGCTGCAGAAGAAAAGAAAAACCCTAGATCCTCACGAAGCTCAAGCGACGAGCGGCCTAGATCCCATCACGAAGCTCGAGTGGTGAGCGGCTAACGGCGAGCGACGGCAAGCAACAGCGAGCGGCGGCAAACGGCGAGCGACAGTGATCGGCGAGCGGCAGTGATCGGCGAGCGGCAGCGATCCTCGAACCATAGTTCCTCTCTCTCCTCTCGAGCGCTCGAGTTCTCCTCTCTCCATCGAGCAGCCATAGTTCCTCCTCCCTCTCTCCAATCGAGCCCAGTTCCTCTTGAACAGAAGAATCAGATCTTCAATCGAGCTAATCACTGGATTTTGATGTACACTCTTAGCTAGGGCTTTTTGATCTTGCGTTTTATCAATTTTGGGGGTTTTTTTCATCTTACTTATCTCTTTCAATTTTGGGGTTTATGAAATTACAAATCAATTTTGGGTTTTTTTCATCCTTTTTGTTGTCTTACTATCTATATTGTTTCTGATATTAGATGCTTTACTTCAAACATTTTTATTCAGGCGTACTGATGTGAGCAATAACAGTTTTTGGTAAATCACCGCCATGATGCAGTATATATTATTATTCCGCATACAGAAGAATAACATGATTTAGTTTACTTTAATTTAAGATTACTTGAACTTGTTAATTTCATTAATGCCTGAATGAAATTTACGAGAAGAAATATAATGTTGACCTACTATGCATTGAAAAACATATACTATAATTATATAATTAACTACTGTTGTGTATGCATGATAGTCCTTTATTGAGAATGAAAAATCATTTAACATGAAAAGTTCTCATTGCAAATATCATATAATCATGAAAAGATTTGTCATTCCAGATATTATATCCATAATCTTGTGATAATAAGTAGCATCTCACGATCAACTACTGTGACATGCATTATTGTATTTCAAGAATACATGTTATGAATTTGCTTAATGGTTTTTTATTGTTTTATTAATGATAGATGACATACAACCAAAATTAGATGAGCTTTCTGAGGATATCATGCAATTAGATATTGGAGAATCTATGCCAACACAAGTATGAATCTCTCATACTATGATGCGGTAGCTGAAGGTAAGAAAATTTTGTGCAAGTTTTTTGTCGAACATATTATATACCCCTATACAATCTATGCCAACATTAGTCTACCTTTGATATCCTGCACATCTGGCTCTCATACATTACAATAGCCTGCACATCTTATTGTAAGTCATTTTTCTTTCTTCTATAGTGGGGAAAAAGAATATTCTCCACATTGTTATAAAATCAACATGCTGTTCTCCACATGTTCGACATGTAAGCGGTAGGAAGAAAATGACTAAAATCCCCCCTTCTTCCTAAGAGGTCCAGAGTGCCTTCCTGGCAAGGAGAACTTGGGAAGAGTCCAACCCAGGACAAAATAGTGAAGGGACAAAATAGCTTACATAAATTTTTACCTGAAAGCTTCAGTTGCTAAATAGTGAAGGGACAAAATAGCTAAAGTAATGCTTTTGATCTTATAGTTAAAAATGTTGGATGATACTACTTCCTGGATTCAACTTCTGCACTTCTTCATCCTTTGTTAAGTGTGTGAAATTGTCATGGTCAATATATTTTCTGTGATTTTGGTTGTTTGTCATTCTTGAAGCGTGTGCATATATGTTTTTTTTTCTCCTTTTGTTAAAAGCTGCTCTGGTTATTTGAGTTCCCTTTCTCTCAGGATGTGAAGCTTATAATCTAGGAACTGGAAAGGGAACATCTGTTTTAGAAATGGTGGCAGCCTTTTATCCTCATTGTAAATTTATAAAATTGGTTCTTTTGGATTTTGGGACTTGCATTTGTTCTTTACGTGTTCTCTTCTTCTGTGTTGGTACTGCAGTTCTTGCAGGTAAAAAATTCATAAGCGAATAATCCTTATGTCATATGATACTATTCCACTTACTACATGTTTCTTTTTTTGCTTCTATGAACTTGCAGTTTGTCTTCGCATCCAAGTTAACAAAGTTACAAAGACAACAAGGAATTCAAGGTAATTTTGTACAAAATCATCTTATCCAGAAAGCATCATATTGCCTGTGAGAATATGCTTGTGAGCTGCACTTTTATTAACAAATCCACCCTCTCGTTGCAGGACTTGCCACCGGAGCGAGCTTTTGCTGATTTTGTCCTCTGCAATCTGATTCTCCACCTTGTGATCATGAACTTATTTGAATAGAACTGTATTAATATAAGTTGGAAACTGCAGCAATATGTATTAGGTCTTATCAGTTTTTGGACATGTCCATTTATGGTACTCGCATAATTGTTTACCTGGTTGAAGATTGTACTCTTGCCTCACAATTCTCAGGATTTTGACTAATCTTTAGTCATTTTCATGGGTGCAATTGGTTCAGGAACGGGTATTTTGCTTGCTGTGACAGTTATATACCAGTATTTTGAAACATTTGAGAAGGAGAGAGCTACTGATCTTGGTTTCTTTGGTCTGTGATATGTTTGCTGTTGTAGTTGTTGTTGCTGCTGCTGTTGAAATTTAGATTTTTTTTTTGTCTAAAGAGCTGCATTGATTGTATTTTTGTTTGTCGATAGTTGCAATTCGTTGAAATACATTTAAATACTGAACATGTCTTTGAAATAACTCCATGTTGTGAGTATTGATAGTTTTTGTCTAAAGAGCTTGCAAGTAGTGTTCTTTTGTGCTTGTATAAAAAAATTTATTAGTTATGTGTTAGGATATGTCTTGTATTAGATAAACGGGTTATTCGGGTTATATGGGTCGGGTCGGGTAACCCGTTTATTAAACGGGTCGGATCACATTGACCCATTTATTAAATGGGTCGGGTCGGGTCACACTTATACGGGTCGGGTCAAATTTTATATGGGTCGGGTCGGGTCGGGTCGACCCGTTTGCCACCCCTAGTTATATTATTAAAAAATTTAATTATTAATCAGGATTAATTGCGGAAATACCTCATGTACTATCTCCAAATTGAAGATGTCATCTTTAAATTTGTTGTTGCAGATAAATCCTCTGAAAGAGATTATAGAATATAAATCCCTTCAGTGAAAATTTATTCATATAGACAAACCCCTTGAGAAGGGTAAAACCTATTCCACTCAGGATATATTTAGGCCTGTCCATCCGGGCTGGCCCGGCCCGGGCCGGGCAAAACAAGGGCCCGGATTTTTTTTCGATTTTTTTCGATTTTATTTAAATTTTAAATTATACAAAAAAGACAAGAAAAATAATAAAAAAACAATAATTTTATTAATCACTTAAAATGACATAAATTACAAATAAAAAATGATAAAAATAAATTCTTTATTAATAATTAATAAATTATTTACAAATTACAAGTACAAATTTATTTTAGAATTAATCGCTAAATTCTTTATTAATAATTAATAAATTATTTACAAATTACAAGTACAAATTTATTTTAGAATTAATCGCATCACAATAGATAAGTAAATCCCAACTAGGTTGGCACCTACTCACCTATATCACTATCATTTGCAACTATTTCCAAAATAATTCTTTACAAAATTTAAGCTAAGGCCTAAGATATAAAAATTACAATTTATTCTTTATATATATCTGCTAGTCCCGATTCTTCAAATTTATCTTCAATTCCAGCCATCCGATCGATGCCTTGCGTTCGCTTCTCGTATCTCCACCAATCTTGTAAGCACATCACCGCTTGTACAGTGTACGGATCTAAGCATGTCCTGTTGTCGTCGATCAAACGTTCTGCTGTGCTGAAAGCGGATTTCGAAGCTACCGTCGAAACCTGCACTGTTAGTAAGTCACGAACCATGGTGGAAAGTATAGGATATGAAACTGATCCATATACTTTCCACCATTGTAAAATATCTTAAAGCATTTCCTTGATATTTAACTAAAGAAGCAGAAAAATATTCATCTATTTCAGAAACCTCCAATGATGACGATCCAAGTCCAGATCCACCAGTTAGCTCAGCTACCATTGCATACCTATTAAAACTTACACTTTTACCTCGGGATGAGCTCGAAGAAAACGAAGTTGTAGACTGTTGTGTAGCTACACATCCATGTCTAGCTGCATACTTATCATATAAGGTTTGAAAATAATTTTTAATAGCTAAATGATGAGTAGTAGCAGTAAGGGTGGTTCCATCATCTGATTACCATACAAGGATTGTAACAAACTTTGAAGGCCAATATCCTTCAAGTATGGATCAATAAGAACCCCCAAACCAAAAATATGAGGAATAGGCCTAAAGTACTTATTAAATTTGATCTCCATTTGAAAAACCATAGGTCCAAAATTAGCATCCATACGATATTTCCCAAAAAAAATTTGAATATTTAAAATTTGTAAAGCAGCTAAAGTAATGGTTGGATAATAACAGCCAGATAATAATATTGTAGCATCATAAAAAACTTGTAATATTTTATTTAAATTACATATAATTATCCATTCATCTTCAGTTATTCCATAAGTGCTACCAGAACTAAAACTAGAAGCATAATAGTTTATAAAATCAGTTATAATGTCTTTATATTCTATTGCTATACTTAATATTGCATAGGTGGAATTCCACCTATGGTCAACATCTTTTGGAATTAGTCTGGGCTTTACATTTTTTCTTTTACAAAATTGTTTCCATCTTTTAAGTCTTTGTTCAGAAGCATTATGCATGTAAGCAACTGTTCTAACCTTTTCTATCATGGGTTGAATTTCAGTAAATGCACTTTGAACAATTAAATTTAAAATATGACAGATACAGCTAATATGAAAAAAATCACCATGACATGGCAATGATAAAGTTGATCTGATAAAATCAACAGCTACATTGTTATTACTTGCATTATCTAGTGAAAGAGAAAATATTCTTTCTGAAATTTTTAATTTCATAAGTTCTTCAATTATTAAATTTACAACATTAATACCAGTATGTGACTCTTCTATTGTAATAAAAGAAATAACTCTTTTAAACATTTGCCAATTTTCATCAATCTAGTGTGTTGTGATACATAAATATCCAGTTTGTGCTCTAGATGTCCAAATATCAGAAGTTAAAGAAAATTTACAGTTTAAAATAAGAAATTATTTTTTCTTGTTCCTCCTAATAATATTTTAAAATATCACATTGACAGGTTTGACGAGAAAATTTTTTAAATGCAGGATAAAAACAACCTCTAAACATATCTTCAAATTCATCATCTTCTACTAATTTAAAAGGAAGGTTTTTAAGAATGATAAACCTGATTACGCATTTCCTGGCTCTGGCAGCGTCATAGTTCCAACTACCGAGACTACCAGAAGAGGAGGATTGAGAAATCATAGATTGTCGGATATCACCTTGAGGAGTCTGGCCTTTGTTGTGTTTATCTAAATGACGTTTGAGGTGGTTGGTGCCGCTCTTATGATGAGCTTGAAAAATCTTGCCGCACAACGCACACTTAGCCTTTTGAGTGAGGATCCTACCGTGTTCATCATTGGTGACATCGATCTTCTCGTAAAAATTCCACACATCGGATCTTGGCCTTTTAGGAGCTCTTGGTGCAGATTCGTCGTCATCGGATTCAGGATTAACTTCGGTAGGAGTAGACCCAGTAGGTGGACTCATTTCAGGATCGGGAGATAAGTTTTGCTCTTCATAATCAGATTCGAAAGCCATTTGATGAAAGGATTAGAAAGTATAAATAAGAGAGTATAAGAGTATAAGAGAGAAGTAGATGAGTTTTGGTATGAAGAAAACAAATGAAAACCCCCTTTATTTATAGAACCAGCCCCCTAAGCAAATGACCAAAATAACCTCACAAAATAGCCGTTTTTTGACCGTTTTTGGGGACAAAACGGTCAAACGACCGTTTATGGCCGGTGTGGCCGGCCCGGCCCGGCCTGGCCTGACCATTTTTAACGGTCACTGTGGTGACCGTATATGTGCCGGGCCGAGCCGGGCCGCCCGGCCTGGGTTTTTTCGGGCAACGGTCACCTCCGGTGACCGTTGCCACCGGGCGGGCCTTCGGCCGGGCGCCCGGCCCGGATTGTTGCCCGGCGCCGGGCCCTGTCCGGGGCCGGGCCGGGCGTCGTTGAGATAGCCCGGACCCGGGCCCGGAACCCGGCCTGGCCTGGATTTCCGGGCCGAGGCTGGGCCGGCGGGCTTTTTTGACAGGCCTAGATATATTTGCATAAGGATAGTAAATTCAATCATTACGTCACGTTACTTTTTAGAAATCCTGGATCAGCAGTTGTCATATCATTTTATAGCCATTTAAATCAAAGTTAGTAAATCCATACTCGAATTATTGAACTTAGAAGTTAGAACTACCAATCTAACCATGCTGGTACTTTGCATGGGTATCTGTCCGCTACATTACGTTGCATTATTAAATGATATAAAGGAAAAAGCTCCCAATTCGGGGAGCAATCTATCTAATATACTAAGGTCCCGTTTGGCAAAGGGTTAAGTGAGGGGTTAAGGATACTTAACCCCTTCTTAACCTGCCAAACACAACAAATCTATATAAGGGTTAAAGTGAGTTAACCCTCCATAATTTGCCAAACATAAAAAATATAGAAGGGTTAAGTTAACCCCTTTAGAGAGGTTAAAATGAGTTAACCCTTCAAAATGAGGGGTTTACTAATACTCCTATTTAGATGGAATAAGAGTTAACCCTTCTAATTATAAAGAAAATAGTCAAAATCATTGTTATTCCCAAACACTAAAACTGATCATATGGGCTAAAATAAAACTTATTTAACGGGTTAATAATTTAGTCATTCGGATTATTAAATAGGCTAAGTACATTAATCATTTTCTTTAACCCCTCTTCATTAACCCTTTGCCAAACGGGGCCAGTAATATTTTGAGATGTCACTCGGCAACTTCTTAGACCATTTGGCTACACTTGGCAACTTATTAGACCATTTGCCTATTTATCTTTCATTTCACCAATTTTATAGCAATTGACAAATGCTGGATAATTATGTTTATTAACCTTCTATATAACTAATGAGTAAACTTTAGAGAAAACGCCCCTTTAAATTCTTAACGTTTTCCTCCTTATTCTCTCTATTTATTTTGCTTTAATTAATATCATTGCATTATATTAATATCATTAGAAATAATAACTAATTATAGCTTTAATTACTATAATTTTCCTCTCAAATCCGTTATATATCTCTCCTGAGCTACTTCCATTCGCATCAAAGGTAAGAATCCTTGGCTCCTTCCTTTCCTTCAATATTACCAAAATATTAGTTTTTTTCTTATGTCTAATTTTTAATTTCTAATTTTATTTCGTTTGGACAGTTTTTTTTTTTTTGAAGAAACTACGGCTGATGATCTCCTCCCTCTATTTGAAG